GAAGGTATTCAGGCTTAATTTGGGAACTGGAGCACAGATCCAATTTTCTAAATCAAGAGCCCCTCACCAACATCAAGGAACCTTCCTTGAGGGGTTTGATGAACACAGAGTTCCATGAGTCCCGGCCCTGGGCAGAGTGCATGGGCATCATTTATCGCCTGTTTTGAAGTCAAACAGGCCGTTTATGGAACGGCTGAGGTTGGGTGGCCCTTAAACCCACCCAAAACACACACACACACACACACACACACACACACACACCCCACACACACACACACACCCCACACACACACACACACACACACACACACACACACACACAGTGGAATAGCCTAGAAAATGACGTAGTGGAGGCAGGAACCATACACAGTTTTAAGACGAGGTTTGATAAAGCTCATGGAGCGGGGAGAGAGGGCCCAGTAGCAACCGGTGAAGAGGCGGGCCAGGAGCTAAGACTCGACCCGTGCAACCCCAAATAGGCGAGTAAAAAATAGGCAGTACACACAAAACACACACACACACACACACACACACACACATACACCCAGGGTGGCAAAGGTGGTTGGAAGGTACTTCTTAATTGATAGATTTACCCTTCAGGGAAGAAGTAGGTAGTTTATTACGTTAGTACACTAATACATATTAGGATTATTGAGGCAACTGTAGATAATAATGTAGACCTAAGACCTTAACGTAGGTAGTAATAGGCCGATAAAAGTAGCAAAAAACTAGGTTATGTTAGCCAGGGAGAACTGGCAGCCCAAGTTGAATACTGGGGGAACGGGTCTGAGACCACAGTGCCCTTCTAAAACTAGACACCGTCGTAGCAAGTGCCGTGATCAGGCAGCGCCTCCACGTGTCTTCGCATACTAGACCTGGGGAAATCTGGTGGAGGCACCTTGACATACCGTAGATGACCACCTCCGTCAGGCTCATACAGCAAGATGAGACCTCCCTTTTTTTGTAAGATTCTGGCCAGTGTCTGGGGAAAATTGCGAGTGCGTTGAGCTGTGGGCCTTGTGCAGCCGGCAGTTCAAGACCAGATTTAAGGCTCCGGTTGCAGGGGTTTTCTGAGGGCAAGTCCACAAGGACTAAAGCTTAGGGAGGTTGAAGACCAACACCAAGTAAGTTTATATGTGTATGCAGGCGAGATTTCTTGCAACATCAGTCATTTATGGAAATCTGTCCTATAAGACACTTGTGAGGCTGAGATTCCGACCTCAGGGCTCGGTGTCAACAGAGCTTGCCAGGGTAGACAACTCACATGGAGGCAGTCCAGACAAATTTTCACACACGGTATATCTGGTAAAACAGGTGGGACATGCACCTTTGACCATCCCAAAAAATGTCGCACACACATGACAACAGGAGAGTGCAACTTTCTTGCAAGTTATTTCACCCAGAAATGTGTCACTCATCAATCCATGAAAGAAAATGCTACAATGCATACTGCCAGGCATATCATCTCAAGGGGACTAGAAGACAGACCAGCCAGACTATGGGAAACAAAAGAGGAACCTCAACCTCTCCAGGGACAGTTTTTTTTTTTAGGGCCAGAAGGGAAAAAAAGACTGGCAAGAAATGACAATAGTCCTACACCACCTGAAAACACTTCTGGAGCAGAGGCACGGGCATTGGCCTCTATCCTAGAACAGATATTAGAGCCAGCAAATAAAACCCCCCTAAATTTCACCAGTACAACATTTGTCTTTGCAAACATACAGGGTTTAAAGCCGTCAAAAAACAACAAAATTCCTTACATCGAGGGACTGCTCACAGAGTCAAATGCAATGTTTGCAGCATTACAGAGACCCACATAAAGGATCTTTGACAAGAAATATGGACCCCAGGTTAAAAAACCTATTCCGATGCGACAGCCTAAACAGGAACAAGGGGGGGGGGGGATGGCCCTATATGTCAGAGTCGCTATTTGCACAGACAACTGAACCCCTAAAAAGATGAGTTGAAGTTTGGCAGAAAAAGATCGAGAACCAAAACCTTGTCATTGTGGTGTATACAACCTCCGATGCAACCCCCAGCAATTCCGGAGCCTGAGAAAATTGACCGTCGGAAAAATCTCCCAACTCCTCCCCCCAAACATTATACTATGGATTTAAAACCTGGACACCTAAAATGGGGAGTATGCAAACAATGTTTTAGCAGAAAAATCCCCCAGGGGCGCTCAGATGAAAAATTCCACACGAATATTAAATCTCTGAAACAAATTAAACCTTTAAAACCAAAAAGACTAGAAAATCGCTGGAATCATTTTCACTAACAACGATGATTGAAGTAATATAACTATAAAAGCTTAAATCAGATCACAACAAAATAGAGGTACAGACATGTATGTACAGGGCTTGGACCCAAAAGTAAGCGTCGTGAGGTCTCCACGAAATTCAATTTCAATAAAAAAAACCATACAAGGGGAAATCAAGAAAACCTGTCCTAAATAAACAAGCGGGGGAAGATACCCAAAACAACACAGCCCCGAACATTGCCTCGGAAAAATGAATTATGTGGTTCTTGAGATTTCAAGACACATTCATTAAAAAAAAGAAAAGATGTAAACTAAAGGAACTTTCCCTATACAGAGAAGGCAAAGAATACGGGCTGCTGAGGGGGATCAATATTCAAAATACGAAGAGAAGCACTGTCAATAAAAATTGCAAATATCGAATTTAAACTGAAGGGAAACTTATAGGAGACAAGAATCACAAGAACAACTAAAAGCCATAAGGAAAAATTTAAAAAAAAAATACTTCTTTTTATCCAAAAATAAAGGGGGAAAAAAACATCCAGTATTGGGCCCCCGCTTGGCATACCAGATGATAGCCAAGAAAAGAGTGAATACAAAGTCCCAATATAAAATCAGTGTTCAGTGATCCATGGCCCTAAGGGGCGACAATCCCCAATGAATTCTTTATGAACGAAGCCCAAAATTTGGTCATCCCAAAACCCCTCGGATATTATTATAACTCCACAAGATTTTGAAGAGGCAACTTATGACATGCCCATGCACTCTGCCCCAGGCCCAGACTCGTGGAACTCCATGTTCATCAAGAACTGCAGGAAGTCCCTATTGCGTGCCTTCAGTATTTTATGGAGAGGGAGCACGGACACAGGGGTTATCCCACACACACTAAAAACAACAGACATAACCCCACTTCACAAAGGTGGCAGTAAAGCAATTGCAAGGAACTATAGACCGATAGCACTAACAGCCCATATAAAAATCTTTGAGAGGGTTCTAAGAAGCAAGATAGCCAACCATCTAGATACCCATCAGTTACACAACCCAGGACAACACAGGTTTAGAGCAGGTCGCTCCTGCCTGTCCCTGCTACTGGACCACTATGACAAGGTTCTGGATGCTGTAGAGGATAAACAAAATACAGATGTAGTATACACAGACTTTGCAAAAAGCTTTCGACAAGTGTGACCATGGTGTAATAGTACACAAAATGCGGGATAAAGGAATAACAGGAAAAGTTGGTAGATGGATCTACAACTTCCTGACAAATAGAACACGAAGAGTAATGGTAAACAGAGTAAAGTCCCAGGCAGCCATGGTAAAAAGCTCTGTTCCACAAGGCACAGTACTCGCTCCCATTCTATTCCTCATCCTCATTTCTGACAGAGATGTCAGCCATAGCTCTGTGTTTTCCTTTGCGGATGACACCCGGATCACCATGGCAGTGTCCTCCATCGAAGACAGTGCGAGACTCGAAGCAGACACCAACCAAATCTTCGAATGGGCCACTCAAAACAATACAATAGAGCGGAAAAGTAATGTGAAGGACCTGGGAGTGATAATGTCAGAGAATCTCGCCTTCAAAGATCACAACAATGTATCTACCGCATCCGCTAGGAAAATGATAGGATGGATAATGAGAACCTTCAAAACTAGGGACGCCAAGCCCATGATTCTCTTCAAATCGCATGTGCTCTAGGCTGGAATACTGCTGTACACTAACGGCCCCCTTCAAGGCTGGCGACATTGCAGACCTGGAGAGTGTACAAAGAACTTTCACGGCACACAAGTGCAATAAGGCACCTAAACTACTGGGAACGGTTGAAGGTCCTTGATCTGTATTCCCTCGAATGCAGGCGAGAGAGATACATGATAATATACACTTGGAAGGTCCTGGAGGGGTTGGTACCAAACTTGCACACGAAAATCACTCCATATGAAAGCAAAAGACTCGGCAGGAGATGCAACATTCCCCCGATGAAAAGTAGGGGTGCCACAAGCACACTGAGAGAACACAATAAGTGTCCGGGGCCCAAGACTGTTCAACAGCCCCCTGGCTGTCTTCAAGAAGGCACTGGACAGGCACCTTAAGTCAGTACCTGACCAACCGGGCTGTGGTTCGTACGTCAGCTTGCGTGCAGCCAGCAGTAACAGCCTGGTTGATCAGATCCTGATCCACCATGAGGCCTGGTCTCAGACCAGGCCACAGGGGCATTGACCCCCAAAATCCTCTCCAGGTAAACTCCAGGTTATATTAAGTTTCATTCCGAACGAGTCACAATTTACCGATTTTAGTAGTGATATAAGTTTCCGTTCAGTACCTAAAGAATGCCTCTTCCGATCGGCTGCAGAATCGTTACTGTTGATGCACTGTAGCAAGAAGGGTGACGAATCACAGGACGGGTGTATGGGGAAGAGAGAGTAAGACTCGAACCCATGGCAAGACCACCTTGAACTCGGCCAGTGCATCACCCACTGGACCACGCCGTCCTAATAACACTCTCCTCTCTTTCCACGAGTATGACCCCAGGCAGGTTTAGCGCTCTCCCCTAAATTTGCTAATTGATTATCTTATTTTGTTTGTGTGTGTGTGTTTTAGCTGTGAGCACTTAGTGACTTACAAAGTGCTTCATAAATGTTACTATTACTATACTGTTACTGTACTATTACTATACTGCTACTACTATACTAACACTATACTACTGCTACTGGTGTATTACTATTATACTTGTACTACTGGTTGCAGCTACCAACATCACCAGTAAAGAGAAGGTGTCAAGGCAGAGTGAACAAATGTGGGCGGCCATGGATCCAGGTGTACAGAGAGACTACGGCAAGCAGTTCTTCGATGCCATTACCAAACTTGCCTTAATTCACACTGAGAGCGGGGTGAGTGTCCACACCTGTTTATCAGTCATGAGGCGAGATTCTCTAGTCGGTAAAGAATTTTATTTACACTGCTTTGGTCTACACGTTCCTATTGTGTAGGTTTAATGTGCACTTATTTCCGTATTATGTTTAGGGGACAGTAGGCTGCAGAGTTTCTTCATTGGAAGGGTTTAAAAGGGGCAGTCTAATAGCAATCTGCACACAGAAATCACTCCCCTTGAAAACGATAGACTCGGCAGGAGATGCAACATCCCTGTAATGAAAAGCAGGGGTGTCATGAGTACGCTGAGAGACAACATAAGCATCAGGAAGCCAAGATTGTTCAAATGCCTCCCAGCATACAAAAGGGAGATCAGTAATAGACCCCTGTAGTTCATTCGTCGGTTTACATGCGGCCAACAGTAACGACCATCAGGCCCTGATCCACCGTGAGGCTTGGTTATGGACCAGGCTGCAGGAGTGTTGACTCCCAGAACACCCTACATGAAAGTGGCAGGGGTGGCTAGGAGACTAAGCTGGATTATTGATGCCTTTTTTTTTTTTTTTTTTGAGGGGACTTAAGCTAGCTCCCAACAACCCCTCCCCCTCTTCCCTCCCGTTGTGGTGGGGGAAGCGCTAAATTCGTAGGAGTCAAACAGTGCCTGGGGGAATTGTGGACCATTACATTCAGTCCAGGTTAGGGAAAGAGAGGTTCCGGTTTTTGGATCAAGAGCCCGTCAACAGCATAAAGCATCCTCAATTGAGGAAATATTATTTATCCTTGGGAAACACGAAACCCGTAAGGGTTATAAAACGGAGAATGGGAACCTGAGTAAATAAAACAATATATGGTTTATGGCATTTTGAGAAAACTCTTCGTCCACCAGCGACTGAATGATTCTCACAAAGACAGTTATTATTGCAATCAAAACTTAAGCATTAAACCCACAAGGGTCATACCGTCTCTCAAAGACACGCAGAGAATGTATAATAGGCAGCGAGGTAGAGATGGGCCGGTGACTTTACTGCTGTGACTTAAGATGGACCCCTCAAGGGAGGTTCCTGAAAACTTGTAAGGGACTCTTGATATAGGGAATTGCATCTGTGCTGCAGTTCCCTGAATACCTTCCATCCCTGCCCCCCCCCATGCTCTGTATAATCCTATGGGTTTAGTGCTTCCTATGATTATAGTAATTAACAAGATGTAATCATTGAATAATTTAATAGGATAGGCCGGTGGGCCGGGTTAGTGATATTCCATATCATTTTATGTAATATTACATCTGATGAGGATAAGTTTGGGCAGTGTTTCTGATATATGTTATAGCCCTGATTTCTGTCTAGTGTTAGTGGCAGAGCAAGACAAGACTTCGTTCGGATTTTTAACCCCGGAGGGTTAGCCACCCAGGATAACCCAAGAAAGTCAGTGTATCATTGAGGACTAACTAATTTCCATTAGGGTCCTCAATCTTGTCCCCCAGGATGCGACCCACACCAATCACCTAACACCCAGGTACCTATTTGCTGCTAGGTGAACAGGACAAGAGGTGTAAGGAAATGCATCGAAAGGTTTCCACCCGCCGGGAATCGAACCCGGGCCCTCCGTGTGTGAAGTGGGAGCTTTAGCCACCAGGTCACCGGGCAACCTAGCACTGGTAGTGGCAACCAGAGAACCGATAACTAGACTGGTGTAGAGGGAGTTCATGCAATGATTTTCGGCGTTTTCTTCAGTAGTACAAATGTTAATGTCATCTCTGACTGGTGTTTGTTTTCCTTGTATCTGCTGGGCTTACAATCTTGTCTGGTAGTGGTAAATATTTTCTCTGCATCTTTTCTACAGTCAGTCGTTGTGTTGTGGATACCAGAGCTCTAGTAAGGTTTCATCGATGTAGTTGGATTCTTAAAGACTAATCTGAGCGAGTAATACAATAGCTATACCTGGAGAGGGTTTCGGGGGGTCAGCATCCCTGTGGCATGGTCCATGACAGCCTCGTGGTGGATCAGGGCCTGATCAACCAGGTTGTAACTGCTGACCACACGTAAACCGACGTACGAACCACAGCCTGGCTGGTCAGGTACTGACTTCAGGTGCCTGTCCAGCTCCCTCTTGAAGAGAACCAGGGGTCTACTGGTAATCCTCCTCGTGTATGCTGGGAGGCAGTTGAACAGTCTTGGGCCCGACACTTATTGTGTTGTCTCTTAGCAGACTCATGGTGCCCCTGCTTTTCATTGGGGGGTAGGGGGGTGTTTCATCTCCCATGTCTTGCTTTTGTATAGTGATTTCCATGTGTAGATTTGGGATTATTCCCTCTAGGATTTTCCAAGTATATATTATTCATCTTTCTCACCTGCATTCCAGGGAATACAGGTCAAAGGACTTCAACTGTTCCAGTAATTTTGGTGATCTGTATATTCTCCAGGTCTGCAATTTTGCCTCCTGTGCAGGCGAAAAGTTTCAAAAAGAGATACCTAAGTGTTGCACATGTTTTTTCCTCGCCCATAGGAGGCACCCTTTACGAGTGTAACATGCCCACACAATTCCCAGACTTTACTAAAGCGAAATTTCCTTTAATGTATTTATGAATAGCGACAAGTAATCTCTCCACCCCCAGAGCAAAGATGAGACTCCTGTAATGCAAGCAATGACAGAGGCTCTGACACAGAGGTTTCCCAGGGCACGCTACCGGGCTGTGGACTGGTATTATTTCATCAAGCTACAGGCAGTTATTCACCTCCCAGAGTGGTTCATTGATCTAATCTACATTGGACAACCACCCCAAAAAATGTACCAAGAAAATATAACACAGCAAAAACAGGATTGATTTCTAGCTGGATTAAGTCTTTTCAATAAATAAAATCAACTATGGATGATACAAAGATAGTAGGCACTGTTAGAAAACTGTCCTAGGAGAGCATTATAACTTTATAGTTTACATTAATAATTGTTTCTACAGTTCCCCTCAAGGAAGGTTCCTTCATGCTGGTGAGGGGCTCTTGATCTAGGGAACTGGATCTGTGCTCCAGTTCTGAATTAACCCTGAATACATTCTATCCCCCCCCCCACAGGTGCTGTATAATCCTATGGGTTTAGTGCTTCCCCCTTGATTATAATGATTTCTACAATTACATGTACATGGTATACAGGCCTAGCTGACATCAGTGACTGACATACTACTATAGAGAAAGCCCCTTGTTATGCAGAGCATTTCTGGCATATTAGGTAAATTTTGTCTCCAGGATGCAACCCACACCGGTATCTATTTTAATGATAGGCGAACATGGATAACAGGTGCCTTAAGGAAACCTTAACTTGAGATCTGAATGTTCTAGTAATCGAGCTACGGGACACGAAATGTCTTAAAGGTTTGCTCTAAGTGTTTTTGTATTGCTGTAACTGCCTGCTGACCATAACTAGAGTGCAAATTTCCTATTGTATTGGTGCAATTGAAATAATCAACCTTTATGTCAGTGAGGAGGATCATTATGCAATAAAATGGTCAAATACTATTGGTTCAAATAACCTGTGCATTGACAGAAATTGGGTAAAAAAAAAAAAAAAAAAAAAAAGGTCCATTATCTTTGAGACAAGAGACCAAGCAAGATTTTCAATCTCAATACTATAGTTCATTAAGATTTGTTGGTAATTTTCATACATTAGAAAATAACTAAAACAGTGCTACCTTCATGTAGACTACACGAAGGTAGCGTTGTGTCCCAACTCTACATCATACGTACAAGGTCTGGAAAATATTTTACAAAGAAAAATCACATCAACATCAAAACTGTAGATGAATGTCAGTTAGTTGTGGGGAAGCAGTCAGGGAAGGTCAAGCTTGACAAAAGAAAAAGGTATGATTTACCATTTTAATTTATTAACAAAGCATACAATTATAATGACCTCAGCCAGTGGTGGGATGGGAAGGAGTCGCTACATAAAAACTTAAATATTGCCGAGGCCACCAGAAGTTCCGTCCTCTTTCCCAAAGAAAAAACAAAAGGGGCTTGTACATTCTAATACTATTGCAATTTTAGTCAATTCTTTTATATGTACATTTTAGCAAGTTGCCACGTTAGCTTTATATAAAAAAATGCAACCAAAAATATGCATAACTAATTTCGGTTTTTATTTAGGAAAGGTGAGAGATTAGACTATCAGATTCCTACCTATACAAAGGCTAATTAATGTTTCTGTAAATAAATAACTATTTAAGTCTTCAGTTTGATCCTTAACATTTGAGGATCTGACTGGTGAAAGATTATTTAGAATACAGTTAACTCAAAATTCCTCTATTGTGATTTATTTTTTTTTTTTTTGTAAATGGGATTGAAAAAAAAAAGATCCAAAATAGAATAAACCATACAATGAAGGCCTTCCACATAGTACAGTATTCAATTTTGAATATACTTTTCAATTACATTAACAAAAAAAAATTTATTGTATAGAGGAGCTTTTAATATTAAGAGTTGACATAATTCATACTGCTAGGATGACCATATACTAAAACAATATATTAGTTATTATCTGTTATAAAATGCATAATAAAAAGTACATTAATATTAACACCTTAGTAATCAAATAGTAATTGAAATAAACAAATTTCATTTATTATTGCAAACTTTAGGAGACAAGTATCACAAAATTTTAAAATAATACCTGCTTACAGCCCTACTAAAAATACTTTTATAAATGTGAATTAGACCCTCGTCCAAAAATTTGTACATTGAAGGATGAACTTTAGACACTGGTCAGGTGGAATACTTCAGAATTACACATCAAAAGACCAACAGTAATACTCGAAATTTCTACTTTGATCAGAAAATAGATTAATTCACTTCCTAAGTAATTTGTTGGTAATTTTCATACATTAGAAAAAAATTTGCCTCCCTTACTGCAGTCTTCAAAAAAAACCCTCCATGTTTTAACTTCTGTCTTTGTTAATGGAAGCAATATGCCTCGTAGCATTAAAGTCATTTTTTTCATGCAAAATAAGAGGTAAAGATTTATACTTCATCTTTCTTGAGTAGCAATACGGCGAGCAGTCTGACAACTCCATCATAAACCCACGCTGGAAGTGATTGCTAATGAAGGCGACAGCATACATACGAGGCTCCATGGGGCAGTATCGGTCTTGTGGGTGGGTCTGAGTCAGGGCCTCGGTAAAGGCGTTGATCACTGGACTTATGTCTTTAGCCTGTAGGACAAGGAGTTGGTCAGGGGCATCATACTAATATTTCACACACCTGTGGTTATCAGATGGTAAGCAGTGTTCATGCAACATAGTTAAACTCAAAAGCCTATCTACTGCATGTATACAAGTTTATAAGAATACTGCACATTCACTTGTACAAACAGCGACAGTTGACAAAGCTTCTAACAGTTCATTAACATTCAAGAATTATTCATTATTTTTTTATTTATTAACACATCGGCCATTTCCCACCAAGGTAGGGTGACCCAAAAAGGAATAACTTTCACCATCATTCACTCCATCAGTCTTGCCAGAGGCGTGCTTACACTAGTTATAAAACTGCGACATTAACACCCCTCCTTTAGAGTGCAGGCACTGTACTTCCCATCTCCAGGACCCATGTCCAGCCTGCCTGGTTTCCCTGAATTCCTTCATAAATATTACCCTGATCACTCCAACAGCACATCAAGTCCTAAAAAAAAACATTTTTCTCCATTTGCTTTAACACACTCTTGCATTCTTGCTGGAAGTCCAAGTCCCTTGCACACAAAACCTTTACCCCCTCCCTCCAACCTTTCCTAGGCTGACCTCTACCTTGCCTTCCCTCTACTACAGATTTATACACTCTCAAAGTCCTATTTTGATACATTCTACATGTCCAAACCACCTCAACAACCCCTCCTCAGCCCTCTGGTTAATACTTTTGGTAATCCCACACCCCCTCCTAATTTCCAAATTACGAATTTATGCATTATATTCACACCACACGTTGCCCTCAGACACAACATCTCCACTGCCTCCAGCCTTCTTGTTGCAACACTCACCACCCATGCTTCGCACCCACATAAGAGCGTTGGTGTAACTATACTCTCAAGAAGGCACTGGACTGGCACCTAAAGTCGGTACCCAACCAGCCGAGCTGTGGTTCATATGTCAGGTTGTGTGGGTCAACAGTAACAGCCTGGTTGGTCAGGCCCTGATTCACCATGTGGCCTGATCAAAAACTGGGCCACGGGGGTGTTGACCCCCAAAACCCTCTCCAGGTATACATTCCCCTCTTTGCTTCCATGGACTAAGTTCTTCGTCTTCAGACTCTTCAGTGCACCACTCACCTTTTTCCCCCTCATCTATTCTATGATTCACTTCATCTTTGATAGACCCATCTGCTGATACATCCACTCTTAAATACAGTATTTGAATACATTCACCTCCTCCATACCCTCTCCATCCAATCTGATATCCAATCTTCCATCAACTAATTTTATCCTCATCACCCTACTCTTACTATATTCACTTTCAATTTTCTTCTTTTACATACCCTACCAAACTCATCCACCAACCTCTGCAACTTCTCTTCAGAATCTCCCAAAAGCAGTGTCATCAGCAAAGAGCAACTGTGACAACTCCCACTTTGTGTTGGATTCTTTATCTTTAAACCCCACACCTCTTGCCAACACCCAAGCATTCACTTATCTTACAACTCCATCTATAAATATACTGAACAACCATGATATCACACAGCCTTGTTTAAGGCCTACTTTTACTGGGAAATAATCTCCCTCTCTCCTACATACTCTAACCCGAGCCTCACTATCCTCATTAAAGCTTTCCACTGCTTTCAATAACCTATCTCCTATTCCAGACATTTGCAACATCTTCCACACTGCCCCCATCTCCCCCGGTCCACCCTGTCACATGCCTTTTCCAAATCCATAAATGCCACAAAAACCTCTACCTTTATCTAAATACTGTTCACCTATATGTTTCACTATAAACACTTGGTCTACACACCCTCTACCCTTCCTAAAGCCTCCTTGTTCATCTGCTGTCCTAGTGTCCGTCTTACTCTCAATTCTTGCAATAACTACCACACACTTTACCAGGTATACTCAACAGACTTATTCCCCTATATTTTTTGCACTTTTTTGTCCCCTTTGCCTTTATGCAAAGGAACTATGCATGCTCTGCCAATCCCAAGGTACCTTACCCCTCTTCCATACATTTATTAAATAAAAGCACCAACCACTCCAAAACTATATCCCCACTTGCTTTTAACATTTCTATCTTTATCCCATCAATCCTAGTTGCCTTACCCCCTTTCATTCTACCCACAGCCTCACGAACTTCCCCCACACTCAACTCTCATACAAGATGTTATTCCAACTTGCCCTATACATGAAATCACAGCTTCCCTATCTTCATCAATGTTTAACAATTACTCAAAATATTCCCTCCACCTCCCGATATGTTCAGTCTGGCTGGAGAATCGGGCCTCCCCCACTCCTTGCACTTAATGACCCCACACAAATTTATCACTTAAAGACAAATTCTCCCTGTAGCTGTGAAGTGCTTGGTTTCACTGACCTAATGCTATGAAGCTAAAATAAAAAAAAAAATTCCTGAGAGTTGAGAATTTAACTAGTTATTTTGAAAAAAAGTATCAGAACAGTATACATATATCCTACAGACAAAGAAATGCTATAACTATCTTGAAAAGTTGTTAAACTCACCCCTTTCCTGCGGAAGTTCTTCTTAAAGCCTTCCACCTTCTTGCAGTAGAGCTGTCCATAGTCTTCCTTTCGCTGGTCGTCGAGGGCTGCCCACAATGTCTCCACCTCTTGCTCGACCTTCTCATCAGTGGCAAAGAGAAACGTTCCTGCCGGTGGTACATACATCAAGCCATGTATGCCAGTTGGGTTTTATTGAACAAATCAAAAGCTTTATTTCAATTTCATAACTCTTGAAGGTAGTTTAATATCTATTATGCACCCCATACCCATCCTGTGGGCTACAGTCAAAAGGCCTTGAGGTACATAATGGGTCCAGGGACTAGATGGCAGTTTTGATAACTAAACAAGTTATGGTGGAAATGAACTACTTACAAATTTATTGTCTTAATCATAAGTTGTTTATACAGACATTAATTTAGTTACCTTGATCAAATGGACACTAGCTATCATTCATTTCCCTTTCTCAAATCAAGCCTTCTGTTTCCCAGGAGCTGTACGATTCCTATGGGTTAAATGCTTATACACGAATTCAATGAAATTATTTTCATAAACCACTAAAAAACTAACAAAATGTAATGCTGTAAGGGTATGAAGTGACACCCTAAGTGCATGTTATACACTACAAGGCGTCAAAGCTCTTACTAATGAGGCAGTTCGCTGAAATGTGATTTTTAAAGTATTTTTCCAACAAATGGAAACAGCTAGTAAATCTAACCAGAGCACTAAGACAACTACAATTTACCCAGAGCACATGGCAAACTGGGTTGTGAGTCAAACATGAAATGGGTAGCCCAGGCCAAGCCTCTCCATTGAAAACTCAAGACTACACAATTCATTGGGTAAATGCTTACAAGGTGGCCTTGACACCATCATGGCTATGATAAAACATGTGATGCTCAAACCAACCTTCACCTTGAATGATCTGTTACCTGGAGAGAGTTTTGGGGGTCAATGCCCCTGTGGCCCAGTCTGACCAGGCCTCATGGTAGATGGACCTGATCAACCAGGCCCTTACTGTTTGCTGCATGTAAACTGACATACAAACCACAGCCTAGCTGGTCAGGTACTGAGTGACAGGTGCCTGTACATCTCCCTCTTGAAGATACCCAGGGGTCTATTGGTAATCCCCCTTATGTATGCTGAGAGGCAGGTGAACAGTCTTGGGCCCCTAACACTGTTGTCTCTTAGAATATTCATGGCTCCCCTGCTTTTCATTGGGCGATGTTGCATCTCCTGCCAAGAAACTGTTTGCAATACCAGAACAGACATCACTGCAGTTGCAGTCTGGATATGGCAAAGAATGCCAAACCTGCGCAATGTGTCACAGGTTTTCTCCAAGTCGATGAAGACCACAAAGATGTGAAGGCATTTGGTAAAATACTGCTGGATGTTACCAGCCAGCTGAACCAAAGGAGCCATTGTCCACTAGAACTTGAAAGCCAAATTGCATCAAAGATGCTGCCTTTCCTCGCTAAATGCAGATGAGACAGTCAACATCATCTCCAATAACATGCAGATGCAGCTCATCAGAGACCAGGCAGTAGTTCGCATCTTCTCTGGAATCAGAACAGATTGCAGCCAACTGTCAGAGAGAACCCCGCTTGTCTAAACAATTACATAAACTCAAAACAATTAGGAAGGATGGAGGTGCCTCAATATGTCACGATGGCCTCTAGATTTATGGTAAACAAAAACCACCTTGGGCTATTCCTATAATAAATTCTAAACCTACAATAAACTAAACCCATGGTAAACCTTAAACCTGTTAAATCGCCTCCCAGCATACAAAAAGGGTATTACCAATAGAACTGTGGCGGTCTTCAAGAGGGAGCTGGACAGACACTTAAAGTACGTACGTACCTGACCAGCCGGGCAGTGGTTCGTACTTTGGACACCGTGCAGCTGGCAGTAGCAGCCTGGTCGATCAGGCCTTGATCCACCACGAGGTCCAGTTATGGACCAGGCCATGGTGGCATTGATTCCTCCTTCCAAAAACCATCCTAGTATACCTTGCACTACTAATGCTAATCCCTAAACCTACCTTGCACTAGACCTGCAACATGCTAACCAAATGTAAAAATTACCATTAGCAAAGTTCCCAGGCTCAAGGATACAAACGTCCACACCAAATGGATACATCTCCTGCCTGTGGACAGAAAAAAATTAAATTCAATCAATCAACAGATGCTGGAATAACTCATTTTTATATTATAAAATTGAATCGATACTTATTGAATTAATCTATAAATAAATTGAATTTGGTCCTATATACAATAAAATTTATCAAAATTTACTTTCTCTGGGTATAGTGTGGAGCCCTCACTAACTACACACACAGCTTAGTTGATTTTTTCCTTAAGGAACTTGGTAGGCCACTCACTGTTACACCATATCAACTGTGCATTTAAAAAATTCATAACCATATCAATATACAGTAGAACCCCCGTATCCAATGATTCGATATCCGCGGTTTCAGTTACCCATGGTTTACAGTGGCCCAAAAATTCCTCTTAATTTTGCATAATAATGGCCCCAAAGCATGAAAGTAGAGAAGCTGGCAGTTCAAAGCACTTATTGTGTATGATTTATCAATTAAACTTTATAATAGGTATGTACAGGACTTGCTTATAGGGGTCTGCTACTATCTGCAGGTATTCCCCACAGGTATGGGGGTCCTACTGTACTTTGACATACAACTCAGTTAAACAGTTTTCTCATGACTACCACCCACTTAATGGGCAAGTCAAAAATAGTAAGAGGAACTGTACTTAGAGAAACTCATGCCTCCCAAGTACAAGTTGTGTATTGTTCTAGCCACGGTATTGTGTATTTATTATTTATATTAAAAGATACGTAATGAGGTCTGTCTGGCATACAAGAGTACTGCGCATTCACTTGTACAAACCATTGACAGTTGACAAACCTTATAATAGTTAAATTAATTCTGCCACCGCAAGACATCGTACAAGTTCGGCATTATACCTTAATTCACTCACCGCAGGGCATCACTGAAGCCCTCTACAGCATATTTGGAGATACAATAAGGACCCATGAATCTGGCACTCATACGTCCTGCCACACTCGCCACATTCACTACACGGCCTGCAAAAAATGAAATTACACATGAGAAATATAAAGAATCATATACTTTTATACCCCAGTAGAGCTACTACAATGCCACATGACAAATCCATTATGACGAGATGCGCATTAGATCACAGGAGGCATGCAAATTCTAGTTTCTTTAAAAAATTTTGTAGTCGTTACAGTCATAGGGAAGCACTAAACCATTAGGAGCTGTACAGCATCTGAGTAAAAGGAGGCATTCAGGTTTGATACAAGAGGAAAGTGAATCCAATACCTAGGATCAAGAGCTCTCTGCCATCAAGAAACCTTCCATGACGGGGTGGTAGAGAATTTGAAATAAAAATTTAATGAAAGCTGAAAAAGTATTGAAAACTATTTTTATAGTTTTCTGAAGTTGCAGAAGTTTCCATAGTTTTTTTTTTTTTGTATGGCTTTATACAAGTGCTAGTCAATCTAGTATAGTTTTCAATTTTCCTTCTTCCTCCTCTAAGATTTGTTTATAACTTCAAAATACCTGCTCTGATGAGCTCTAAATTTCCATAACCAGAGAAATGTTCATGTAGCTATTGCGTGCTGCAGGTATCTGTTAGTCTTACGAAGCCAATGTTTATTTTAGTTTCCCCGTAGTAACACGAGAAAGCCGAGTGACTTTACACTCGGATCTACTTGGAGTTCATTACCTATATAACTAGTTCAGCTATCATAACTTTGGGGTCCAGTCCCTGGACTCATTATGTACCTCTGTAATCTTTTGACTACTGCCCATAGGATGGGTATGGGGGCATAATAAAGATATTTAACTAACTTTAAACATTCAACACCATGTACCCTTAATTTTTTTTTAATACATGTACTGATAAAAGTAGTGTTATGTGTGGTATCCACACTATTCCTGCTGGACTCGTCAAGGGGAGGAGGGAACTTCTGCATAGGTGCTTGTGTATTAAAAATGTCTTCATCTTCACTAGAGGTAGTAATATTAACAGACTCATTAGAATCGTTAGTCATCATCAGAAAACGGAGGTATGATATTCCCAGTTACAGGAAGCAGAGGCTCGTGAGAGTTAATGGGAGACTGTGGAGGCTCCAAGGGAAAATTATTATCCTGGGAAAGTTCCTGTTCAACAGGATCAGCTACAATAGCGGGAGAGTAGGCACCAATTTCTGGGGCATTGTTATGTTCAGGTGTTGACTTATCGGGTTGAGGGGAGTTGACAACCTGGGTATGCAAAGTGGGCGATCCCTGGGCCAGGGATGACTTAGGCTTATTTTTAGATGTACCCTACTCTACATCTAAAAATAAGCCTAAGTCATCCCTGGCCCAGGGATCGCCCACTTTGCATACCCAGGTTGTCAACTCCCCTCAACCCGAATAAGTCAACACTGAACATAACAATGCCCCAGAAATTGGTGCCTACTCTCCCGCTATTGAAGCTGATCCTGTTGAACAGGAACTTTCCCAGGATAATAATTTTCCCTTGGAGCCTCCACAGTCTCCCATTAACTCTCAAGCCTCTGCTTCCTGTAACTGGGAATATCATACCTCCGTTTTCTGATGATGACTAACGATTCTAATGAGTCTGTTAATATTACTACCTCTAGCGAAGATGAAGGCATTTTTAATACACAAGCACCTATGCAGAAGTTCCCTCCTCCCCTTGAAGAGTCCAGCAGGAATAGTGTGGATACCACACATGACACTACTTGCAGGCGTTCAGACCGCAGTACACGAGTGAAGTGCAAGAAATAATGGGGATTACAATTTTCCAACTTAATGTTCAACATTTCTTTAATAACCGTTACCTTCTTGAGGTTGAACTACATAATTACAATCCCGATGTTATACTTTTGAACGAGACAGCTGCAAGAGTTGATCAACATATTAAATTATGTGGTTACTGTACTGTGGAGAAATCGAGAGGACCCTTTAGTGGTGTAGCCATCTTAGTTAAATTAGGCTATACTTTTAAAAATATTCATGTTGATGAAGATAACATTCTTGCAATAGAAATGACAACGTCCCATGGACAACTAGTGATAGTAACTGGATATTTTCCCCCAAGACAACAATATATAGAGTCAATTCCTCTACATAGGATATTAAGCAGAAATATTCCAACAATTCTAGCAGGAGATTTTAATGCTCATCACCCTGCCCTCTTCAACTGTGGAGCTGGTATTCCACTGGGTGACTTAAAAGGAAAACAACTTTTTAATATCATGACAGCTAGAAACTTGTCATTTCAAGGCCCATTCTTTAAATCGTACATTGGACCTCATCCAGGGACACCAGATATAGTACTGACAAACAGAGACTGACATCTTTCACTGTCGTGTATCTCCTGGTGGAAATGTAGGATCTGACCATATCCCTGTTATAATACAACTACAAACTTCTCCATTTAGAATACATGTACCTCCTAAACCCAATCTTAACACCCTAGGATTTTACCCCTTCAGGGCATTTCTGGGTGACGATGAAATTGTCATTGGAAAATCTACCTTCCACTGCAATTGATGATGCAATCAGGTCCCTGCATAATCGAATAATTGAAGCTATTAATGCAACTTGTCAATTAGCTTCCACAAAGATATACCAACAATATAAACCTACTAGGGAAATTAGAGACAGTTTAAGAAATTATCAAGCAGAATGTCGAAGGCATCTTCAAACGCGACAACCACCAGTAGCTACACTGCACCGATTAAGGCACGAATTAATTAACATGATTAGTCATCACAAACGGGACTTATGGAAATTGCTAGTTCTTCAAGCTAATCAGTATAAACGTGAACCAGCAAAATTTTGGAGTAAGATCCGACAACTTTTAGGTGCAAAGCACAAGGCTCCTAACTACCTAGTTCATACCTTCACTGATGAGGATGATGAAGTTGAAATTAAACTTGACGATCCACAGGACCAGGCTAATTTGATGGGTGATGTATGGGAGAAAATTCTCTCCCACAATAACAGTCGTCAAATTTTAAAAATAATCATTATCAGTTGGTAAATGAATGGAGAGATGAGAACTTGGATGACCTACAACCACTACCTTCCATTGATACTTCAACTCTTGAAGATACCCACCCACTTACTAGACCTATTACATTACTAGAGAGGAGTCAGGTTATTGGCAGAATGAGAAATAGAGCCCCTGGCCTCTCTGGAATAGCAATGAAACAAATAAAGTACCTACCTAGAAATTGTAAACAGTCTTTGGTAAATATCTTTAATGCCATCTTGGCCTCAGGACATTTTCCAGTGGTTTTTAAGACTGCTAGGATGATCTTTCTTGGTAAGCCCAATAAAGACATCCACCAACCTGGGAACTATAGACCTATATCTTTACTTGAAGTCACTGGAAAAGTTCTTGAGAAGGTCATTTCCAACAGATTGAACTACTATATGGAGTTTAATCACTTTTTTACTGAAAAACAATTTGGCTTTAGAACACAGAGGTACCAATCATGCAATAAATGTTATTTTCGATACTGTAGCAAGTCTAAAACATCAGGGGAATCTCGCCTTAATTGCCACCAGAGATGTTCATAAAGCTTTTGATAGCTTATGGCATGATGGCCTTATATACAAACTCACTGACCTACCAGACCATAACTGGACTTTTCTCAGAGTAATATATAATTTCTTAACTCAAAGAAAAATCATTCCCACCTTTCATGGCAGGTCGACAGAGCCTTTTATACTGACGGCTGGTGTCCCACAAGGTTCTTGTCTCAGTCCACTTCTGTTCAACATATATGTGAATGACCTTCCTCAACCAGAGTTTAGTGATACAATTGTGACAGTTTGCAGATGATGTTATTCATGTCGTCTCATCGACTCCGGTAACAGGAAAATACAAGTATGAGAGAGTCATAGAAAAAATGAATATTGAACTTCGTCGAACATCTAATTGGGAAAAGAAGTGGAGAATTACGACTAATCCTGACAAGGTCCTTGTTAGCACGATAGGATGTTTTGCATCAACAATTGAAGATAAAGGGGGTATCTCCATCAGAGGTACACCTGTAGCCATTAGAAACCCTAACAAGATTTTGGGATATGAAATACAGGCTGCTCCACTCAACATCTCATGTAACTAAAAAGATCAACATAGCCAAAGCCGGTCTTAGTAGTCTCTTTCGTTTCAATCAAGCCCCTCAACATGTCAAAAAACATCTGTATAAAATGTTAATAAGACCTATACTCGAATACCCTCGTGTCCCAATGTCATTAACAACAAAGGCCAATATGCTAAGGTTACAAAGGGTCCAGAATAGAGCTTTTCGCTCCATTACCGATACCAGGAGGAGAGTTAAAATGGCAGATTTACACATACAACAAGATATTACTGCCATAAATGTACGCCTTGACACTCTAAAAAAGAAAACTATACAATGCAAGAACTATATATGCCAGATAGAGAACATCCTATACAAGTGGTAAATACCACGGATTATATAATCAATACTCCTCCTCACAGGACTCAAAGAATGACTCTCCCACAGAGGGTCCGTCGTTTCATACATAAAGCTGATTACCATCGACCCATGATAACGAGCAACCTCCCTGATGAAGAAGATTGGGTAACACCAGAACCCTTCTATGTATACTGAGAACATCATCGCCCCCAATTAGGGAGACATCTTATATAACAATCTAATGTAAAAATTATGCTATTTACCATGGCTGGACACCACCTGTAAGAAGCCATTGTCACGTAATTCTATAAACTGGCCAGAAAATTATTGCCTTCATTGTCGCATAAATATCCGTTGTGCAATCGCGAAAAAAAAGCAATTGCAACTTGTATAATTACTACCAATTCAGAGTCATGTACTTATATATCTGTTATATCTATGTGACTGATGGGTTAGTCTTATACCCCTTAAAGAATATCTTATTTCACGTACACTTTTTAAATTACACCAAAGTGGTTGGGCCACTTACCTTTTATATCCTACCTCTCTCCCCCCTCCTACCCTTTTCCAAAATTTCTATCCTTACCCATCCTTCTTCCTTACCCATCTCACCAAAGCTCTGGTCTGGATACCGAATACCGAACTGATAAAAGTAGGTGCCAATTGGTCAGATCTTTAAAATGGCAATTTATTTTATTAAATAATTATGCCTTTTCTGAATGACTAATGACTTGTGCACCTTACAGAAAGATACCCTCTAAGATTAGGCTGTATAGGAGATACTATTTACTGATTTACTAATAGCAAATAACTTTAAATTTTTAGATTCTGTGCTATAATTGAGAAATGCCTGTTCTGATAGTTCTAAAACAAGAGTAAAATCCACCATCAGTGAAAGAAAGGTTCACCTTGTCGATAGTATGTACAAATTAATCTTCAATGCTGGTACAGTATTTAACTAAAATAGAAACTTGTGTCATGCTCTGTATAACTTCATTTGCATGTAGTGAGGTAGAGGTGGCTGGTCTTATGCATTATAGATAAAATAAAGTTTCTCTCTTTGTAAAAGTTACAATGTGTAATTATGATTTTGATTTGCTAGGTACAAAGATAGCCACTATCATGCCGGGGCACTTTGGGCAGACTAATCCTAATAGTACATAGTAACTATTTAAAACTAGACAAGAAAATAAGTACATAGTAACTATACTTAAAACTAGACAAGTAGTAGTGGTTCACTGTTTTACAAACCTATTTAAACTTAATACAAATGTGAGGTAGTAAGGTTCTGTAAAATAATCTTGAAATTGCTCACAAAATCTATATTACAAGTAATGGTTCAGGTGCAAATATTTTATGAATTGGGATACCTTTCTCTGACCATGTAGTGGCTAAGTCAAACCTAGTTCCCATTACAGAATTCACTGTACCAAGATACAGTATGCTTTGAAAACTCCCACACAATTGCCATTTTATAAATCAAGATCCTTTTAAACAATTAAATCTGCTGCTCTTTAAACCATCATGCCCGAAATAGCGCTACTCCTGGCTAACCTTTTGCTCGACGGACTAATGGCAGGAAGGTCTTCGTAACAGCAATGAGGCCAAAAATATTAACTTCTGGGTCCCTCCTGAAGCTCTCTAAGGAAACCCACTCGACAGGACCCAGAGTGCACACACCAGCGTTGTTCACCAACCCCCACACACCACCTGCAATATTAAACATAGCAATAGTAATGTGTAAATGAGAAACCCACACTTTGTTTAAAGTTTTTATATTTTTTTTAAAGACGCATTAATTATTACACACCTACATATACATGTACTCCAAAAAATTCGAGAAGTTTGCAACAAGCCTAGTCCTAGAGCTAAGGGGCATGTCCTATGAGGAGACATTAATGTAACTCAATGTGATGACAATGGAGGACAGGAGGAGACATAAGGATGTATAAAGTACTGAAAGGAATTGAAAAGGTGAAAAAGATTGTTTCAAAGAAGGGATACAGGAACAAGAGGACAAATGGAAATTTAAAACCCAGAAGAGTCATGGGGATGTTAGGAAGTATTTCTTCAGCCTTAGAATTGGTAGGAAGTGCAACAATCAATGAAGGTGGAGATACAACTCAGTTTAAAAAGGGGTTTCGATATAGCTCTTGGAAACTGGAGAGCAATCTAATAGCGACCAGACAAAAAGGCAGGGCCCGGAACGGGGATTGAACCCCCCTTTAACCACACGAGAAAACGTGCCCCAAAAATTGAAGAAAGGGCAAGCTAAGGGGCTTTTGAGGGGAGGGCGAGGGGAAAACAAACGAAGCCACTGGAGGACTAGGGGGGGATAAAGAAAATTAATAATACTGGGATGAATTAACATTATGGGAAAAAACTTCATTGGGGAGATGGGGGGAAAAAGGAACAAGAGGGCAACTGGAAAGTGAAAATTCCGGAGGGGGGGGAAGTTAGAAGCATTTCTTTGTTAACAAACCCCCCTAACCCCTCCTGTGGGGGGTAGCAAAAAAAATTACAAAGGTACCCTAATGGGCCAGGGGAATGGACCCCAAATTTAGATAGCTAAAAAAGTTCAAAGGTAATGAACTTTCCCGGTAGAAACGGTTTACAATATGGGAAGTTTGGACAGGATCTAAAAACAACTTTAGTGGTTTTAAAAAAGGTCTCGGGAAACCAAGGGAACCTAGTAACACCAGCAAAAAGGCGGGGGCCCGGAGCAGGGCCATATCCTACAACCACATAAAAAAGATGTTAAAAAGGTATAAAATACCAAAAAAGCTAAAAAGACAGGTGGGACTGATACCCTCAAAAATTTTTTTTCCAAGGGTGATTTGGGCTGGGTTACACCCGATACTGTTTATTTTTTGGAAAATTTTTGTAAAGCCTTTGATAGAGTACCCCACAGGGACTCTGAAAAAAGTGGGAAACTCATTGGGATAGGAGGAAAAATTCTAGGGTGGATAGAGGCATGGCTTACCAATAGAAAGCAGAGAGTTACCATTAATGGAGTGAAATCTGAATGGGGATTAGTCACTAGTGGCGTTCCACAAGGATCAGTTTTAGGCCCTCTCTTGTTCATAATTTACATTAATGACCTAGATGAAGGGATTACGAGTGACATGAGTAAGTTTGCTGATGATACAAAGATAGGCCGTATAATTCACTCTGAGGAGGATAGCAATGAACTCCAGGAGGATTTGGACAAATTAATGTCCTGGTCTGAAAAATGGCAGATGAAGTTCAATGTCGATAAGTGTAAGGTACTAGCCCTTGGTAATGAAAGTAACCCTCAAAGCTATAATCTAGGTGAAGTAGAGCTTGATCAAACAGAATGTGAAAAGGACTTGGGAGTCATGGTAAGCAGAAATCTAAAGCCAAGACAGCAGTGCCTTAGTGTGCACAACAAGGCCAACAGATTACTTGGATTTATCTCAAGATGTATAAGGAACAGAAGTCCAAAAGTTATTTTACAGCTCTATACATCACTAGTGAGGCCTCATTTAGATTATGCTGCTCAGTTTTGGTCCCCTTACTACAGGATGGATATAGACTCATTAGAGAACATACAGAGAAGAATGACTAAAATGATTTACTGTGTAAGGAACCTCCCGTATGAAGATAGACTTAAAGCCTTAAATCTCCACTCTCTGGAGAGGCGTAGAATGAGGGGAGATATCATTGAAGTGTACAAGTGGATGACGGGCGTAAACAAGAGATATATTAATAAAGTACTGAGGGTGTCGAACCAGGTAAGAACCAGAAATAATGGATTTAAGTTGGATAAATTTAGATTTAGAAAGGACATAGGTAAGTATTGGTTTTCTAACAGTTGTAGATGCGTGGAACAGTCTTCCCAGTGGGGTGATAGAGGCTAGGACCTTGGGTATCTTTAAGAGACTGGACAAATATATGAGTGGGAGGGGCTGGGTTTGATTGGTGTCATTGGGTACGGGAGTTATTTCTTGGGTAGCTTTAGGTAGAGGTCGTTTTGATAAGGACCTGCCTCGCATGGGCCAGTAGGCCTTCTGCAGTGTTCCTACATTATGTTCTTATTACATCATCTTTATTTCACTACTACACCTGCCTCTGTACTGGACTGAAGAAACCAACTGTTGCATGTGTGTCTTAATCATTTACATATAAGAGTGTATGACAAAGCTCAGGAAGCAGAGAGGGAGAGGACCTAGTAGCGATCAGTGAAGAGGCGGGGCCAGGAGCTGAGTCTCGACCCCTGCAACCACAATTAGGAGAGTACACGAGCGAGCGCGCGAATGCATGCACTGACGGAGTTTTTAAATGTTTCAAGAACATGTAAGGAAAGGGGATGCATATTTTTAATGGCTTAATTTTACTAGTAATAAGTTAAGTAACAGCAGCTGTGATATTTGAGGAGCACTTTGAGTAACTCTCGAGTGTTTTTAAAATTAAAACTTATATTCTACACACAATAAGAACAATGAAAATCAACAAATATATAAAGTTAAAATAACCAGGATTATTTAAAATACGTTTAAATTATTAGTGTGAACAAGTCTTAAAATTTGCAAGACGCATACAAGCATTCTAGCAAATTAAAAAAAAAAAAAAATGACTGTAGCTCCAGGTGCCCGAGACAGTTGCCTTAGGCAGAGATATTTGACACCTGGAGTTTACCTGGAGAGAGTTCCGGGGGTCAACGCCCCCGCGGCCCGGTCTGTGACCAGGCCTCCTGGTGGATCAGAGCCTGACCAACCAGGCTGTTGGACATTAAAATGGTATAAAATACCGACAGGTTGTTAGGTAAGACACATATGCAACAGTTAGGTATCTTTATTTCGAAACGTTTCGCCTACACAGTAGGCTTCTTCAGTCGAGTACAGAAAAGTTGATAGAAGCAGAAGATACTTGAAGACGATGTAATCAGTCCATCACCCTTAAAGTTTTGAGGTGGTCAGTCCCTCAGTCTGGAGAAGAGTATTGTTCCGAAGTCTGAAACAATATTGTTTCAGACTTCGGAACAATACTCTTCTCCAGACTGAGGGACTGACCACCTCAAAACTTTAAGGGTGATGGACTGATTACATCGTCTTCAAGTATCTTCTGCTTCTATCAACTTTTCTGTACTCGACTGAAGAAGCCTACTGTGTAGGCGAAACGTTTCGAAATAAAGATACCTAACTGTTGCATATGTGTCTTACCTAACAACCAGGCTGTTGCTGCTGGCTGCACGCAAACCAACGTACGAGCCACAGCCCGGCTGATCAGGAACTGACTTTAGGTGCTTGTCCAGTGCCAGCTTGAAGACTGCCAGGGGTCTGTTGGTAATCCCCCTTATGTGTGCTGGGAGGCAGTTGAACAGTCTCGGGCCCCTGACACTTATTGTATGGTCTCTTAACGTGCTAGTGACACCCCTGCTTTTCATTGGGGGGATGATGCATCGTCTGCCAAGTCTTTTGCTTTCGTAGTGAGTGATTTTCGTGTGCAAGTTCGGTACTAGTCCCTCTAGGATTTTCCAGGTGTATATAATCATGCATCTCTCCCTCCTGCGTTCCAGGGAATACAGGTTTAGGAACCTCGAGCGCTCCCAGTAATTGAGGTGTTTTATCTCCGTTATCGCGCCGTGAAAGTTCTCTGTACATTTTCTAGGTCAGCAATTTCACCTGCCTTGAAAGGTGCTGTTAGTGTGCAGCAATATTCCAGCCTAGATAGAACAAGTGACCTGAAGAGTGTCATCATGGGCTTGGCCTCCCTAGTTTTGAAGGTTCTCATTATCCATCCTGTCATTTTTCTAGCAGATGCGATTGATACAATGTTATGGTCCTTGAAGGTGAGATCCTCCGACATGATCACTCCCAGGTCTTTGACGTTGGTGTTTTGCTCTATTTTGTGGCCAGAATTTGTTTTGTACTCTGATGAAGATTTAATTTCCTCATGTTTACCATATCTGAGTAATTGAAATTTCTCATCGTTGAACTTTATATTGTTTTTCTGCAGCCCACTGAAAGATTTGGTTGATGTCCGCCTGGAGCCTTGCAGTGTCTGCAATGGAAGACCTGTCATGCAGATTCGGGTGTCATCTGCAAAGGAAGACACGGTGCTGTGGCTGACATCCTTGTCTATGTCGGATATGAGGATGAGGAACAAGATGGGAGCGAGTACTGTGCCTTGTGGAACAGAGCTTTTCACCGTAGCTGCCTCGGACTTTACTCTGTTGACGACTACTCTCTGTGTTCTGTTAGTGAGGAAATTATAGATCCATCGACCAACTTTTCCTGTTATTCCTTTAGCACGCATTTTGTGCGCTATTACGCCATGGTCACACTTGTCGAAGGCTTTTGCAAAGTCTGTATATATTACATCTGCATTCTTTTTGTCTTCTAGTGCATTTAGGACCTACCTGGAGACCTGGACCTTGTCGTAGTGATCCAATAGTTGAGACAGACAGGAGCGACCTGTTCTAAACCCATGTTGCCCTGGGTTGTGTAACTGATGGGTTTCTAGATGGGTGGTGATCTTGCTTCTTAGGACCCTTTCAAAGATTTTTATGATATGGGATGTTAGTGCTATTATTATTATAATCAAAAAGAAGCGCTAAGCCACAAGGGCTATACAGTGCTGCAGGGTAGGGAAGGAAGCAAGGGAATTGGATGGCAGAAGGGAGGGGGGATGATCAGCAGGTTACAGAAAACAGCGGGGCAGGGGATAGTACGGGGATAGAGGGTAGC